TTTTCCATTCCTTTTTTCTAAATCAAGAATGGCAGGAACTAAAACTCAAACACCCATATGATACAGAATTATACTAAAATCAAATTCTATAGCTGAATGAATTTTCTACTATAGTACAGAAGTTGAAAACCATTAGGAATGTTGTGAAAAACTGGCAGCTAAGATGGAATTCAACTACAAGTTCTACTAAGTTTATAGAGAAATAAACAGCAAAATTACTGTAGTTAATATATTACAGTAAACATACTGTTAACAATGTCTTATTGCTAACATTAGAATTATATGCTTCATCATTGGTTACTAAAACGATTCCTTGAGCAGACGGTTCATCTCTGACACAACTTAGTTTCAGAAAAGTTGATAAGTTATGTCTGGTTTAGATCAATGAACACTTAGTATACATACCAGTCAGGTACAGTTTCAATGGTACAATGAAAACATTAGGTACTTCAGCTTTAGGACAAGGTCACATACTCATTTAAATAGCAGCCACATAATATCACACTCTGTGATGCTTCGATATGCAATCCACCCACAACAGCCTTCAAATTTACGTTAAACTACAAGTGAGGGAGGACAGGCTGTTCTGATAGGGAAGAAAATCATCAAAATGCACAAAACGGGGCCGGCCCGGTGGCGCACTGGATAAGTGCGCCGCTTGGGAAGCGCGGCGGCGCTCCCGCCCGAGGGTTTGGATCCCACATACAGACCGGTTCCCGCTCACTGGCTGAGCGAGGCGTGGGGGCAACGCCGAGGGTTGCAATCCCGTTGCCGGTCCCCGGTCCGGTACAGGGGCAACACTGAGGGTCGTGATCCGTTGCCGGACACGGAAAAAGACAAAAGACAAAAAAAAAAAAAAAAATGCACAAAAGGGGTTTCAAATATGATGATGTACTACTTAAATATCCACCATGCAGCTTTTCAAAGTAAAAAACTTTTTGCATGTTCTATTTCTTCAAAATGACAAACCACATCTTTTTTGTTTTTGTTTTTTTACTTAAAAACTAGTATCTCGGTTGCTCCACACT